CATCTGTGGCTTTGGTGGTTGGGGCATAAATTTGAATAACAGTCATATTAACTAATTTAATAAAGATGTCTTTATTAAAGAGCAAAGATGTCACTTTGAAGACGACGGTGCACCTGACCTACGCCATGGTGTTTTCAATCACCTCATACACATGTGAGAGGTGGACAATGAATAAGGAAGACCGCAAAAGAATTGATGCTTTTGAATTGTGTTGGTGAAGAATATTGAATGCACCATGGACTACTAGGAGAACAAATCGGTCTGAAGGAAATACAGCTGGCATGCTCCTTAGAAGTGAGAATGGCCAGATTCTGTCTCTCCTACTTTGGTCATGTGGTCAGAAGGGACCAGTCTCTGGAGAAGGATATCATACTAGGTAAAGTAGAGGGTCAGTGAAAAAAGGGGAAGACCCTCACAACATGAATTGACACAGTGGCTGTGATGATAGGTTCAAGCATGGCAATGACTGTGAGGCTGACACAGGACCAAGCAGTCAGCGTTTGGTTCTATTGTATGTAGGGTTGATACGAGTCAAAACTGACTCAGCACACCTAACAGTGATGATTATATTTTCTATAGACACATCACTCACTCACTCACTGCTGTCGAGTTGGGTCCGACTCATAGAGACCCCTCCTTGGGTTTCCAAGGCAGTATCACTACAAAAGTAGATTGCCCAACCTTTCTTCTGAGGAGTGGCTGGTGGGTTTGAACCGCCAGCCTTCTGGTTAGCAGTCAAATGCCTTCAGCACTACGCCACCAGCTCCCAAACATATATATCTTCATATATATATAATAACCTGCATATTTTATATGTGTATATATTCTCTATATATTATAGCCACTGCTCACCTATCAGTTTGTCATACTCTGGTGGCTTGTGTGTGGCTGTGATGTTGGAAGCTATGCCACTGGTATTTCAAATACCATCCGGATCACACATGGTAGACAGGTTTTGGTGGAGCTTCTAGACTAAGACAGACTAAGAGACTTGGTAAAATAGAGGGTCAGCAAAAAAGGGGAAGACCCTCAACAAGATCGGTTGACTCAGTGGCTGCCACCCTGTGCTCGAGCATGGCAGCCACTGTCAGGATTGCACAGGACCAGGCAGTGTTTCGTTCTGCTCTATGCAGAGTCGCTGTGAGTTGGAAACAACTTGACAGCATCTGATAACAACAACATATACGTATGTCATATATATGTGTTTGGGATGTTCAGGGGGAGCCCCCTTTTGGTCCCTAGTGTTCTCACTCCAAGCGTTCTTCCCAACTAGAAAGGAAACTTTTGTTCTACCTGCCAACAAGGAAATGAATACACAAATTCCTTGAACGCACAGGGCCAGGAGTCGGAGGGGAGTGCCCTGCTGTTGCACAGGTTTGGCTTCACTTTCCCTCCACAGTCAGAAGGGGGTGGGCTGGGCCTCCTACCTGGTGGTTTGCTGATGGCTCTCCTCTCGGGCTCCTTGAAGGGGAACTGTAAGGTGGTATCAAGCGACTTGAAGCAGTCCTTCAGGGAGTTCTGCTGGTAGAACTCCACCAGCTCCTGGAAGAGGAATGGCATGTCAGATGCCAATGTGCCCAGGTCTGCCGGGCCTAGGCTATCCCAGCGGGCCAGGTTATGGGACAGGGGCCAGAGGTGGGAGGAGACTCCATATATTTAACTCCTCATGTGGAGTAAGTCTTTCTCTGGCCTCTCTTGTAAGTGACTCTTTGAATGCTCCCCATGATGAGGAGCTTACTCCTTTTCTGATCAGCCAGGACCATTTTATGGGGAAGAGACCATATGCCTAAAACCAGTTCTTCTAATAGTCAATTCTGTTTATGAGAAATTTACCAACTAATTGATTTACTGAATTCCTAGTTCACTAAATTCAACTCCCAGGCGGGCATCAGGTACCTTATTTTGAAAATCAATAATAAGTGATTTAAATGCTGTTTATGACGCACCGACTATGCAGCCACCACCTGGCTCAGTGGAAGCTTGAGTGTTGCTGGGATGCTGAACAGGTTTCGATGGAATGTCCAGACTAAGACAGACTAGGAAGAAAGGCCCAGTGATCAACCTCTGAAAATCACCCAGTGAGAACCCCTGGATCACATGGTCTGACCGTGGGGCTGGCACGGGACTGGCTGCGTTGCGTTCTCCTGTGCATGGGGCGCCATAAGTCAGGGGCCGACTCAACGCCAGCCAACAACCACCAAAGTTCTGGCCAGCGTGCACACCACACACCATCAGAATCTCCTAATGAATCTGACAACTGAATCCACTCATGATTCTCTCATCTTACAAAAGAAGAAACTGAAGCACAGGCCCCTTGTCCAGGGTCCCATAGCTGAAAAGAGGCAGCCCCTGCATTCGAACCCAGAGGAGGCAGAGCAGCATCGAAGCTACGAGCAGGCCTCTGTAGAAAGACTGACGTGAGTTCAGGTCCCAGCTTTGCTGCCCTTAGAAACATTTCTTCCACAAATACTTAACCTGATCCCAATAGTGAGTAAACAATCAGGTGAGTCAAAATAAAACAAAATGTCTTACGTTTTGGAATTCCAGACTTCAAAACTGTCAGCATCATGGAAGACAAGGAAAAAAAAAAAAAAAAAAAAAAAGGACTGGGGTACTATTGTAAACTAAAGGAGGCTAAGGAAAAGAAACAAAACTTAAACACAATGTGTGATCCCTGATTAGGTTGGGAGGGGCAACAATAAAGGACATAATTGGGACAATTGGGAAGTTTGGGATATGGACTGTATATTATATAATAGTTTTGCATCAATGTCAAACTTCCTGAATGTGTATTTTTTGATCAAAGATTCAATAGAAGAATCTTGATCAAAAGGGGAAGAAGTGCAGAACAGAATTCCAAATATGCATGAAATCCAGACTTTCTAGAGTCACTAAGAATGGGTGAAACCCCAAAATGATTATCCTAAGATGAATTTTAAACCTTAAACCAAAAATATCTCCTGGAGTCTTCCTTAAACCAAATAGTTTGATTAATTATAAAGAACGATGTCTTTCTTGAATATCATGCTCTTTTGAAGAACTGTCTATATGAGGTCAAACTGACAAGAGCAACTCAAAGGTCAGACATGAAATTTTGGGGGCACTGAGTTAATGAGGGAGGAACATGTGGTAGTTATATTTGTGTGTCAACTTGGCTGGACCACAATTCTATGTGGTTTAAGCAGCTGTGATGTGATTATTCCCATGATGGGATCAGATGAATATGTTTTGAGCAGCCAATCCATTGAAAGGAGGAGCAGGAGGCAGAGCTGGACCCCAGCGTTGAGGAGCTTTCACCCAGCCCCTAGAGCCTGGCACTTTGAACTTGGACTTAAAGCCTCCAAATTGTAAGAATAAACTCCTGTTTGTTAAGGCCATTCCATTTGTTGTATATTCTTGTCAGAGCAGCACTAGGGAACCAAAACAGAATTTGGTACTGAGAGAGTGGGGTGCTGCTCTGACAGATACCTAAAATGTGGAAACAGGAGTGGAGTGAGTCCTTGACCCGAGACCCTGGCAGAGAGACCCCAGCATACGGCATGACAGACAGAAGGAGCAGAGCCGAGAGAACCGGCTGAGACAGCAACAGCCTTACCAGCCCAAGGAGAAAGCTTGATGCCTTTGGGTAGGAGACTTCCTAGTGGAGTGGGTTGCCTTCAGGCGTTAATTGGCAGAAGAGACTGGCTTGAAATGGAGTAGCAGGTTGGCAAGCCCACAGAGCAAGAAAGCTAAATGTCCTTTGGGGCAACAAGATTCCTGGCAGAGTGGGTTGCCCTCGGGCATTAATCGGCAGAAGCGGAGAGACCAAGGAAATGGAAGCAGAGCTGCCCCAGCCTGAAAGGGTAAGACCATGGCCTTTGGGGGTGGAATGACCACAGTCCCCTAAGTTTCAGAGCCAGGCCTTCACCAACTTGGTTCTGGAGTGTGGGGCTGCTCGTTCTTGTGAGCCAGTGGGATGGAGCCATAGCCGCTGGCCTAGAGTGATGGGGTGGGGCTGCCATGCCCAAGAGGGGGAGGAACAGGGCCCGCCAGGCCAAGGGGTGAGGTCACCACTTAGAGGAACTAGGGGACTGGAGACACCCAGTGAGAGAGACCTGTACAGATACCACCCATTGAAAATCTGTACAGAGGCCAAGTTGACAAGTGGTGGAATTGTGGTAGTTATATTTGTGTGTCAACTTGGCTGGGCCTGGTTGAATGGCTGGGCAGCTGGTGTTAGTTATTCCCCATGATGAGACTGGCAATCAGTTCCACGAGTAGCTGCCTTTGGGATGTGGTCTGCGTCCTGTATTTAAGGAGAAGCATTGAGAATGGCCTCTAGCCTATGGCACGCTTGGACCCTGCATGTAGTCATGTCATTGCTCAGCAGCCTGCTATGCTCTGCTGACCTTGGGACTTACAATGGACCTAAGTTAATGGCCTGCCGTGTGGATTGGTAACATCGGGACTGTGCCTTTTTACTTGTTAACCTTGGGGCTTCTCAGCCTCAGCAGCCAGCAGCTGTCTGAGTGAAGAAAAGCCTCTAGCTCCAGTGGGCCGGGAGCAGGAGGCAGAGCTGGACCCCAAGGTTGAGGGGCTTTCACCCAGCCCCTAGAACTTAGCACTTTGAACTTGGACTTAAAGCCTCCTGTTTATTAAGGCCATCCCATTTGTGGTATGTTTCCTGTCAGAGTGGCACTAGGGAACCAGAACAGAACATTTCAGAAAAGGAGGGTGAAAACGGTTGCACAACTTCAAGCATGTAACCGGTGTCACTGAATTGTACATCTAGAAATTGTTAAGTTGCTCTATGTTCTGCTGTGTACAGTTTCGACGACAAAAATAAATGAAATAAATTATTAAAAAAAAAAAAAAAACCACTCTTCCTGACTGTACTAATAATACTGTGATGAGGTGACAGAATGTCTTTGCTGTTAGGATATTCATGCTGACATAATTAAGGATGAAGGTTCATGATATTGACAACTTACTCTTAAATAGTTAAAAACTAGTGTGTGCATTTGCATATGTGTGTGTGTGGAGTGAGAGAAAGAAGCAGAAAATTAACAATTAGTAAATCTAAGTAAAGGCTTACACAATCCCAGCAACTTTTCTGAAATATTTCAAAAATTAAACATTTGAAGACCAATTTTCAAAATAAAGTTTGAAGGAGAAAAGGATTTATGGGATTAATTAACAGTCCCTAATCTTTCAGGGGCCGACTCGACGGCACATAACAACAACAACAACAATCTTTCAGGGGGTCAAGGATCCCTTTGAGGATCAAGTGAAATATAAGACATTCCCCCCCAAAAAAAAATGTAAATATGCAGAACTTTCTAGATATGCTTTTGGAGGACTCAATCCCTTAAGGATCCAGACTGTGGATAAGAAGCCGCTCTGCCTTAGGCCAAACCAAACCAAAACAGTTCTCATGCAGTTGATCATAACACATGGTGGCCCCATGTATTTCAGGATGGAACAACGCTCCACAGGGTTTTCAATGGCTACGACCTTTCAGAAGCAGACTGCTAGCCCTTTCTTCTGAGGCACCTCTGGAAGGGTTCAAACTGCCAATGTTTTGGTTACTAGCCCAGTGCTTAACCATTTGCACTACCCAGGGACTCCCTTGCTTTGACTTAGACCTTAGGTTTAAAATGTCTAAAAAATACATCCATTGCCATCAAGTTGATTCCAACTCATAGCAACCCTATATGTCTAAAAGATGGGCAAAAATTACAGGACACCACACAGAAGCAAATACACTCAAAAGGCATCTCAGTTCTCAGTGACATGGTCATTAGACAGATCAGGAAGAGCTAAGCCTTAAAGTCCAGCAGAACACAGACTCTGCTATTCTGTGACACTGGATGGGGCGAAACCTCAGTTTTCCTCATCTGTGAAATGGAATTCAGAGGGTAAGATCAGTCCGACCTATAGCATGTCTGATCCTCACTAAATGCTCTGTAGATGCACTGCTTTTATTCATTAGTATTACCATTTTAGGAGCTCTGGTAGCATAGTGCCTAAAGCACTTGACTGCTAACCAGAAGTCTGGTGGTTCAAACCCACCAGCCACTCCTCAGAAGGAAGGTTGAGCAATCTACTTCTGTAGTGATACTGCCTCGGAAACCCAAGGAGGGGTCGCTATGAGTCGGGGCCGACTGGACAGCACATAACAACAACAACAACATTACCATTTTAGTGTTGCTCATTCAAGGAAAGAGTTTAAGGACAACTGCTCCATTGTGACCTTAGAGGGGCCCCTCTGATTGTGGGAAAGAGGTTCCTAAGATGGAGCTCCAGGGAGGTCCTACCTGGACCCCAGGAGCTATGTGTCAGGGGAGCTTGGCCCTTACCACAAGCCCCCGGAAAGCCTTCTTCTCTGTGATCCGATACAGCCCTTCTGATGTCATGATTTTAATGTGCTTGACTTCGACATTATACCTGAAACCAGAGACAGAGAGCCAGATGGTTAGTGGAGTTTGAGTCTGGGGTCCCAGGCCCATCTTGCACCAAGTCTCAGTGTCAAGCCACAGCCCCAGTCATGGAAGAAGCAATCTCGGCTCCTACAGGAAACCCAAAGGCTGAAGCATTGCCCTCACTACCCCAACAGGCTTCCCACCTTGAGGCCTTTGCTACTCTACATCTTGTTCTCATCCTCTGTGCAACAGGGATCGTCTTCCTGAGTCACAGGGTTGGTAAGAAGTCAGTAGGACCTTGTAAAGAAGGCAATGGTCCAGAATACACAGGAAGAGAGCTCCACAGCCACCAATATGGTGGACCACACGTTAGAAAGGCTGTAGGAGGAGACACCCCTTCCTGCCAATATGGTGGACTAAATAACCAAAATAAATCCTTGTGCTACAGAACCCCTAAAAATGCTGAGCTCTCAAAAAAAGTAAGGGCCAAAAATGAAGATGTAACTGAAGAAACCAAGGAACAAGCATGAATTGATGCTCAGGTAACCCTAAAGGGTTTGCTAATCTTGGTAACCAAGGAGCTAATGTCTTGACGGCCACATGGAAACATGAGATGAGTTACTGGTACCACATATGGTAGAGAGCTGGCACACAGACCCGCCCCTACCACATGGAGCTGGATTGTGAATGTATTACAGCCTCAGGGAAAGAGAGGAGCTGGGCAATTCTACCCACCTGCTCAGAGGGGACAGTAAGAAAGCTCGTCTATCTCAAAACCAAAACAGAGGACACTACCTTCGAGAATCCATGACCTCGGACCCGCACTCACACAGGCTTGGAGCTTGAATGTAAACTGCCTGTGTAATCTGGCAAGCTAAGAAAATGATCTAAAAAGTGGGTAGAGGGATTCATGTGGAGACATGTTGGAAGTCTACAATTCCCCATTCGAATGTTCTTGTGCTTTCAATAAATGCTTTCACTTTAAAATAAATCAGTAAGTAAAAATAAAAAGTGGGTAGACTTGGTGATCTCAACAGAAGCAAATGCAAAATCACTCCAGAGACACAGGTAGCATAAGATTCCCAAAGGTAAAAGATTCCCAATTAGATCACAACATAAAATCAAACAACCCACAAGGAAACAATTCACCATGAGTGAGAACCAGCACTCAATACACAGAAGGGGCCTGGGAGCCAAAGCCTGAGAGACTTGGGTCCAAATTGTTTCTGCTCTTCCTAGGGTGTATGACAAGCCTTACTGGGCCTGCAGAGGATTGGATCTCTTTCTCTTGGGTCTGTTGGGTCCATTAAAAGGAATAAGGAATGAAATAAAAGCCCCCAGAACCCAGGAGGGGTCAGCAAACAGTGACTGCCATTATTGCAAATGCTTATAGAGACTGGAGCTTCCCCTTTGCTTCTTCCCAGGCACCTATAGGACCCAGGTCAGAAGGGGAGGCGGGTCAGGGAGGGAAAAGTTACTTAATGCTGATGGCAAATTCTGCCGCGTCCTTCACCCTCTGCCGCACCAAGAAGGTTCCATCAGAGCGGTTGGTGAGAATGTTCTCAGCCCCGGCACGCTCCATGGGGCCAGCATACCTGTCAAGACACACCAAGGGGAGAAGTTGGCTTAGCTCCTACCCCTGGGGCCCCATATTGCCCACTCAGGCATTTGTTAAAGTTATTCTCCTTGTGTTGCTGCTGTTGAAAATGTAGGCAGCAGACGAAACACTGATTCAACAACCCCATGACAATGGGGTTCTTCTAGTTGTGCAACCACTCTCACTCTCTTTTTCTGAGCTGTTCCTCATTAATAAACTCACTGCCCTCTCCATTTCCTATGTAATCTCTTGAGTTTCAGTTGTCAATTTGATTCCATATAGACCTTAAATGAGGACAATGCTCAACTTAGGCCACCTTTACTAGTTAAGCTAAACTACTTTTTAGTTTTAAGAAGACTTCAGGAGATATTTTTGGTTTCAAGATTATCTCAGAGCAACAGTTTCAAGGATTCATCCAGCCTCCATGACTCCCAACAGTCTGAATTCCAAGAGAATTTTAAATTCTTTTCTTCATTTTCCCCCTGTTGGTCAAGATTCTTCAATAGACTCAAACATTTTTTAAGCTGATGATTGCCTGGGCTCAGCATTCCCTAGACAATGAGGTAAACCCTGTGGAAGCAGTGGCCAGTGGCCAGAAGTAGTCAGTGTGTCATGGTTAATTTTATGTGTCATCTTGGCCAGGATGTGGTTCCCAGTGGTCTAGCAGACACCGGAGAGGTTGCTCTTCCATAATGTAATGTGATATAATCATCTTCCATGATGTGCTATGATGTGAGTAGTCTATCAGTTGAAAGAGGAGTTTCCCTGGAGTGGAGGGGCTCTGCCTCCGGTATATAAATGGATGTTCTGGCAAAACTCAGTCTCTCTCAATCCTGCACTCTTCTCATCATCTGACCTCAGATTCTTGGGGTGTAAACCTGAAGAATTCTGGGGCCTGACATCTGACCTGCAGATTTTGCATTTGCCAACCCCTCCAACCCCATGAGCGGGTAGAGGTCTTCAGCCGGCTGCCTGACCCATGGATTTGGGACTTGCCAACCTCACGAATGTGTGAGCTATTTTACTGAAGTAAATCTCTGTATATATGTTTATATATCACTGGTTTTGCTTCTCTATACCTTCTCTAGAGAATCCAGACTAAGACACAATGGCCATCAGATTTCTGTAAGTCACATCCAAGACTGAACATAGAGATTGCAGTGGAGAGCTAAGTTCTTCACATCAGGCTGGGTCTCTGGAATTTGGCCATTGCTTCACTATGAGTCGGGTCTGACTTGACGGCACATAACAACAACAACAGCCAAACTGTTTTCCACAGTGACTGCACCACTTTACATTCCCACCTGGATGAGAGTTCCAGTATCTCCACAATCTCCCCAACACCTGCTGTTTTCCGTTCATTTTGTTTTTCATCATTTTTGCTCTTCATCTTTGCCATTCTAACAGAAATAAGATTGAATGCAATATTTAAAAAATCAAAATGCATTCAAAATAAACCATAAAACCAAACAGAGTGCTGATGTGAGTTGTAATATGGATGAAGTACTGTGTAACACAGATGACCCCTGGAAATAATATGCTTCAGTGAAAGAAGACAAACACAAGGCCACATGTCATGTGTCCATTTATATGAAAGGTCCAGAGCAGGCAGGTCCATAGAGATGGCGAGTAGATTAGCGGTTGCCTGGGGATTGGTGGGAGCAGGGAATGGGGTGTGGCTGCTTAATTGGATGGCACCTCCTTTTGGGGTAATGAGAATGTTCTAGAGTCCACTAGATAGTGGTGATGGTTGCACAACATGGTGGATACACTAAGTACCATGGAATTGTACACTTTTAAATGACTGATTTTATGTTATGTGAATTTCACCTCAGTTTACAGAAATGAATACAAGAAGTCCATGAGGAACAAACTGTCAAAATTGTACATAAAGACAGACTCTCTCTCCATATTTTTCTAACTCATCTTACCCATCTCACCCTGGACCCACCCTGTGCGTCCTGTCTGTATTTTCAATTTTGTTCATCATGAGGTTTTTTTTTTCTTTTTTTACCTCATTTTTGATTGTTTTAGTTATTGCATTATAGTACTATTTCTCTTGATGACATCAGTGTAAATTTTGTGCCAAAAGTGAATGGCTCACTCTCCTCACCCAGCCCCAACCCTGGTGACCACATCTTGGCAAGCACAGCTTTACTCCATGGTTTATGGAAAAATTCAGAAAAGAATAGGAATAATGGTTGCACAACATGAAGAATGTGATCAGTGTCACTGAACTGTACATAGAAAAATAGTTGTTTTATGTATTTTATAACAATTGAAATAAAAAATCAAAAGGAAAAAGAAACCATGATTTGTATCCTGCCGCTAGCTAGCTCTACTGATTTTACCACTCCCAGCCCCAATTGTTTCCTCTGGAAAAGGGAAGATAAGGGTACCTGCCACAAAGGGACATTTTTGACAACTGACAAGAATGTCATTAAAGCACCTAGTACATGGTCAGTACTCAGAACGTGGGAGGATTGCTCTGTCGCAGGACTTGGCAGTAATGGTAAAGTACAGGCCTTAGATTCAAGGAGACTTGAGTTCAAATCTCATTTCCACCACTTCCTCACGGTGTTACATTGGCTTAGTCTCTTCCACTAAGACTCAGTTTTTTCCTTTGTAAAAAATGGACCAAGAATGTTGTTGTTGTTGTTATGATGTGCCGTCGAGTCGGATCTGACTCATAGTGACCCCTCCTTGGGTTTCCAAGGTGGTATCTCTATGAAAGTAGATTGCCCCATCTTCCTTCTGAGGAGTGGTCGGTGGGTTTGAACCGCCAGCCTTCTGGTTAGCAGTCAAATGCCTTAGGCACTACGCTACCAGAGCTCCCAAAAATAGCATCTACTTACATGGTTGTTGTCAAGACTAAATGTCCTCATTGACAAAGTGTATGTGAGCTGCTGTATGGAAAATGAATTTGCTCTGTAGACTTTCACCCAAATCACAATTAAAAAAAAAAAAAAAGACTAAATGCCCTTCATTAAAGCAATAATTAAAAAAAAAAAAAAAAAAAAAAAAAACTTGTTTCCGTGGGGTTGATTCCAATCCATGGTGACCTCATATGTTACTGAGTAGAACTGTGTTCCATCAGGTTTTCTTGGCTTTAATGTCTATGGAAGTGGATTACCAGGTCTTTCTTCCTCAGTACCACTGGGCGGGTTCAAATAGCCAGCCTTTAGGTCCTTAGTCAAGTAAAAACTATTTGTGCCACCCAAGGATATACACAATCATAAAAAAATGATACCATACTGCATCCATCTAAGGTACCAATGATTATAAATGCACTAAGAAAGAAAAAAGGAGGCTTGGTAATGCAGTGGTTGAGTGCTGGGCTGCTAAGCAAAAGGTTAGTGGTTCAAACTCATCCAGCAACTCCACAGGAGAAAAGCCCTGGTGATCTGCTCCCATAAAGATTACAGCCTAGGAAACTCTACGGGGCAGTTCTGCTCTGTCACATGGGGTCGCCATGAGTCAGAGTCAATAGCAGCCAACAACAACAACAAAATTGAGAAGAAGGCTGAGACGTCATTGATTATAAGACCACCCCCAGTGTCAGAGATGTTAAAATGTGAAGGAGAAAAAACAGACATATTAGGGTTGGTTAGATGTGGTCATACAACAGCCAGTGCTGTACAGAGTACTGACTGTATACCAGGCAACGGACTAAGCACCTCACGAGTAATAAGTACATCATGTAAACCTCACAACAACCCTATGAATAGATGCTGGCATTAACCTAGTTTCCAGTGAGGAAGACTGAAGCACAGAGAGGTAAAGTTACTGGCCCAAGGTCACACAGCTGGGAAATGTTGGAATCAGGCTTTGAACCCAGGTCAGTGGGCTACAGAAACCATACTCTAAACCTCCATCCTCTGTATGCAGCAGGTGCTCACAAAAGTGGAGAAGGGGCCATTACCCTCACCACCACATTCATCCTCATCACCATAACCATCACTGCAGCCATTTTGACCTGGGACTGTAATTACCCAAGTCAGTAACTCTCCCCTGTCTGCCCCCCAGCACCACCCAACCCAGGGCTAGACCCAGAAGACAATGCTTGGGGCCTCCCATGCCCAGGCTGGGTGCCCACGTCAAAGGACCCCCAAGTTAAGTTAAAGGAAGGACTTCACTCTACTCACCAGAGATGAACGGACAGGTCTTGAGGAGGGCCCTGTGGGACACAGATAGAGACCCAGACTCAGGGCACAAACCCCAGCTTGGCCACAGACTGCAGGACATTCATTCACTCATTCATTCATCCATCCATCCATCCACTACACTAGCATCTACTGAACACCTACCATGGGCTATGGGTTGGATCAACAATCACTCATTCATTCGTCCACTCCACTAGATTTACTGCATGCCTCCCATGTGCCAGGCATTGTGCTATTTTTTGGGGCAACAGTGGGAGAAGTTGGCCTATCACATAGATCCAAAAAAAAAATGTCATCAAGTCCATTCCAACTCATGGCAACCCCGTGTGAAGAGCAGAACGGTGCTCTAGAGGGTTTTCAAGGCTATGGCCTCTGAGAAGCAGGTCATCAGGCCTATCTTCCAAGGTAGCTCTGGGTGGGTTTGAACCAGCAACCTTTCAGTTACTAGCCAAGTGTTTAACTGTTTGCACCACTCAGAGACTCCTTTCAACAAGGGGTAGGTGCTCAATCAGTATTTGCTGGATGAATGAGTGAAGCATGGCATGAAGTCCAATTACCAGGAGACAAGGGAGGCATCCATGGGGAAGGAAGGCAGCGTGAGACCTATTAACTAAACGATGAAGGGGAGAGGACCCAGCCTGTGCTAAGGCCATGGAGAAAGAGCATGGGGATGAGACAGGCTGCAAGGTGGATGGCAAGGACAAGTAAGGTGTGGGGTCAAGTGGAAGAGGTCTGTGGAGACGGAGAGGGTGCCTGGGACAAGCAAGGGGGAAATGATTGACCACGGGCCCCAGAGTGGCCCTGGTCTAGGCCACTGGCAGGGAGAATGGGAATGACCAGCCATGATGAGGAGCCCCTCCCCACATCCAGGAGTGTCTTCCCAAGGCAGCCCACCCCCCAGTCCTGTCTGGAGCCCCTCCCCTCATTCCCTCAGACATGAGGCACTCACATGGACGTAGGGCTTGACCCTGTTACAGGGAAACCAGCCAACTTCATTGGTGGCTGTATTCCTGCCCTAAAAACCCAGGAGACAAAAACAGGGACAGAGACGTTACAGGCATCCACATGTGTGTGTACATGTATGTGCATGCAAGTGCATTGTATTGTGTGTCCAAGTGCATGTGTGTACATATGTGTGCTTATGTGTACTGTACTGTGTACTGTGTACATCTATAGATGTACATGTGTGGGTTTATATGTGTGTACATGTGTGCATGTGAGTGCATGTATATGTATGCATCGTGCAAGTATATTATGTCCATGTGTGTGCATGCATGTGCTGTGTGTTCATTGTGCAAATATGTGTGTGTATGCACTCTGTATGTGTGCATTTGTGGGTCTGCACATATGTGTGTACATACACATGTGTGCATGTGTGTGTATGCATCTGTGGTATGGATGTGCATGTATATACATGTGTATGTGTGTGCATCTGGGGATGTGTAGGTGTGTACATGTTTATATGTCCATTTAACCTCTACAGCCTGAAAGGCCCAGAGAAGTGCCAACTAAATCCACCTTCCTCGGAGACGGCCAGTTCAGAAGGGCCAGGCCAGGCCAGAAATCCGTCTATGTCACCCCTCCCCACCTGCAACCTCCTTCTTTACTAGAGCACTATAGGGCCATGACCCCACTCCCCAAGGCTACTTGTTCCTATGGCCCCATACGTGGGTCCCACCTCATCACTCCCAAACCTAGGACCCTTCTACCAATTCCACAGCCCCACACCTGGTTCCCACCTATCATTCCCACAGCCCCTTACCTGGTTCCCCTCTAGCACACAGCCTCATCCTGGTTCCTCCCTATGACCCCACAGTCCCACACCTGGGTCCTGCCCCATCACTTTATTGCCCACATCTGAGTCTTGACCCATTAGTCCATGGCCCACACCTGGATCCCACCTTATGACCCCACAGCTCCTACCCATACCTCCCACCAGTTCTGTTCAGCCTCAGCCTTGGTGAGCTCCACGATGTCTCCAGAGTTGAGCCGTAGAAAAGGTCCAAAGGCTCCAGGGGGTGGAGGAAGCCCATAGTACTCCTGACACACCTCCATCTTGGGCAGGCCTGGGGACAAGAAGGGTGGTGGTACAATGTGCTAGTCAAGGACTTGCAAACCTGAATCTCACCACCCACCTGAACAGCTGAATTAAAAAGACTGACAACATCAAGTGGTGATGAGGATGTGGAGCAACTGGAACTCCTACATTGCTGGTGGGTCTCTACTTTGAAAAACCCTTGGCAGTATCTGCTAATTCTAAACATAGGTCTATGCTATGATCCAGAAATTCCTCCCCAGAACATACCTGTTACCAACTGAGTATGTCCCCAGAAAATATGTGTTGTAAATCCTAATACCTATACCTGGGTTGGGAGCTCTGGTAGCATAGTGGCTAAGGCACTCGACTGCTCACCAGATGGCTGGCGGTTCAAACCCATCAGCCACTCCTCGGAAGGAAGGTTGGGCAATCCTACTTCCGTAGTGATACTGCCTCGGAAACCCAAGGAGGGGTCGCTATGAGTCAGGGCTGACTCAACGGCCCATAACAACAACAACAACATACCTGGGTTACAGTCCCATTTGGGAATGGATTTTCTTTGTTACATTAAAGAGGCTGTATCAGTGTAGGGTATGTTTTAAGCCAATCATCTTTGAGATATACAAAGAGAAGATTAGGAACAGAGGATCAAGCAGAGATGGGAGAAGACAGACACCACTCCACATGAAGATCACCAAGGAGCCAAGGAATAAAGACCTTCCCCCACAGCCAACAGACAGAAAGTCTCCCCGTAGAGATAACTGCCTGAATTTGGACCTATCACCACCTACACAGTGAAAAATAAGTTTCTGTTTGTTACAGCCAACCACTTGGGGCATTTCTGTTATAGCAACACCAGATAACTAAGACGATATCCAACAAGAATCCCTGCTGGCACACCAGTTAAGTGCTCAGCTGCTACCTCAAGATTGGTGGCTTGGACACACCCAGTGGCTCTGTGGGAGAAAGACCTGGCAATCTGCTTCTGTAAAGGCCTAGGGAACCCTATTGGGCAATTCTTCTCTGTCACACGGGGTCACCATGAATCAGAATCAACTCAGTGACTCCCAAAACAGCAACAACATTGACCCAAGAAAAAGGAAAGCATGTGTCCACAAAAAGTCATGGGAGTTCTGGTGGCGTAGTGCCTAAGGCACTTGACTGCTAACCAGAAGGCTGGTGGTTCAAACCCACCAGCCACTCCTCAGAAGGAAGGCTGGGCAATCTACTTCCATAGTGATACTGCCTGAAACCCAAGGAGGGGTCGCTATGAGTTGGAGACAACTCAAGGACACATAACAACAACAACCAAAAATTACGGACAAGAATGTTCACAGCAGCTTTATTCACAATAGCTAATGCTGGGAACAAACCAAATATCTCCAGTAGGAGAATGGATAACCACAAAATAGAGTACTATATAGCAGTACAAAAGGATTACCTACTGCTACAAGGAATCACATCAGTGAATCTCACCAGTGTTATGCTGGATAAGAGAAGCCAGATGCTAAAGGAGTACACACTGTATCATTTTATTTATATGAATTTCAAGGACAGGCAAAACTAAGCCAATATGGTAGAGGTTAGACAGTCCTTCCCTCTGGGTGTAGGTGGGTACTGACTGCTGTTGCTGGGTGACATTGAGTCAAGTCCCACTCATAGTGACGCAATGTGACAGAGGGTTACTGCTCCACAGGATTTTCTTGGCTGTTAATTGCACAGTTCCTAACCTAAAGGTCAACGGCTCAAACCCACCCATCACCACCATGGAAGAAAGTCTTGGCAATCTGCTTCTGTAAAGACTGTTGTTGTTAGATGTAGAATCGATTCTGACTCATAGCAACCCTATGTACAACAGAACGAAACACGGCCTGGTCCTGCCCCATCCTCACAATCATTGCTGTGATTGAGCCCATTGTTGCAGCCACTGTGTCGGTCCATCTCATTGAGGGTCTTCCCCATTTTCACTGACCCTCTACCAAGCATGATACCCTTCTCCAGGGACTGCTTCGTTCTGGTAACATGACCAAAGTAGTTAAGATGCAGTCTCACCACTGTTGATTATGAGGAGCATTCTGGCTGTACTTCTTCCAAGACAGATTTGTTCATTCTTCTGGCAGTCCGTGGTATATTTACTATTCTTTAACAACACCGTAATTCAAAGGCATCAATTCATACACAGTCTTCCCTATTCATTGTCCAGCTTCCACATACATATGAGGCAACTGAAAAGACCACGGCTTGCATCAGGCACACCTTAGTCCTCAAAGGGAATCCTTGCTCTTTAATACTTTAAAAAGGTCTTTTGCAGGTTTGCCAATTGCAATACACTGTTTGATTTCTTGAGTGCTCCTTCCATGAATCTTGACTGTGGATCCAAGTAAAATGAAATCATTGACAATTCCAATCTTTTCTCCATTTATTATGATGTTGGTTATTAGCCCAGTTGTGATGATTTTTGTTTTCTTTATGCTGAGGTGTAATCCATACTGAAGGCTGTAGTCTTGGATCTTCATCACTAAGTGCTTCAAGTTTTCATCACTTTCAGCTAGCAACGTTGTGTCATCTGCGTATCTCAGGTTGTTACTGATTCTTCCTCCAATCCTGCTGCCACGTTCTTCTTCATATAGTCCAGCATCTCAGATTATTTGCTCAGCATACAGATTGACTAAGTATGGTGAAAGGATACAACCCTGATGCAAACCTTTCCTGATTTTAAGCTATTCAATATCCCCTTGGTCTGTTTGAATGACTGCCTATTGGTCTATGTACAGGTTCCTCATGAGCACAAAGAAGTGTTTTAGAACACCCATTCTTTGAAATGTTATTCATAACTTGTTATGATCTACACAGCCAAATCCCTTTGCATATTCAATAAAACACAGGCAACATCTTTCTGATATTCTTTGCTTTTGGCCAAGAGCCATGTGACATCAGCAATGATGGTCTTTGTTCCATGTCCTCTTCTGAATCTAGTTTACTTTTCTGGCCATTCCCTGTCAATGTATTGCTGCAACTGGTTTTCAATTATCTTCAGCAAAATCTTACCTGCACGTGATATTTTACTTATATGTGATTATGCCTGTTCCAATATTATGCTTTGGAAGCAGGTAACTTGTATCTAGATTCCACAGGTTCACAGATGAAGATGAATTTTGTCCCAGGATGTAATTTGGACTTGGAATTGATTTAAGATTTTTGGGATGATATAAAGGGATGAAAGTGTTTTACATGTGTCAAGGACATGAATTTTGGGGCCAAAGGATGGAATGTCATGGATTAAACTGTGTCCCCAAAAAACATGTGTCAGTCATGGGCTAGCATGAGGCAGAGCTGGAGCCCAAGGCTGAGGGGCTTTCACGCAGCCCCTAGAGCCTGGCACTTTGAACTTGGACTTAAAGCCTCCAAATTGTAAGAATAAACTCCTGTGTGTTAAGGCCATCCCATTTGTGGTATATTCCTGTCCGAGCAGCACTAGGGAACCAGAACAGTTATGTTTGCTATGTTAATGAGGCATAATTAGGGTGGGATGCATCACACTTACTTAAATCACCACTTTACTTAGATCACAAGCCCCATCTGATATAAGGGGAGTTTCCTTGAAGTGTGGCCTGCATCACATTGTAACTTACAAGAGAAAAACAGAGAGAGAAGTGAGCAGAGAAAGAGGAACTTGACTACCACCGAGAAAGAAGAGAGCACAGTGCATCCTTTGGACCTGGGCTCCTGCACTAAGAACCTCCTAGACAGGGGAGAGATTGATACCAGGACACATGGAGAGCTCCGAGAATGCTGAAAGAAGACAAGGGCTTGCCTCTGAGCCAACAGAAAGAGAAAGCCTTCCCCTAGGCCTGGCGCCCTGAATTTAGGCTTCTTGCATGCATGCACATATATATGTATGTATGTGTGTGGTGTAGTGAATTACTTAGTATGGCTCTTCTAGCCATGGTCGTTGGGGCACCCACCAGATGACTGGGTGGAACTACATAAATGTGAGGTACTTGTGATCTACCAGGGAGATTGGATAGCTCATGGGGGTGGGACCATGAAAATGAGATGTACAGAACCCTAATGTGGGGGTTAATCAGTTTTGTCATTTTACTGGGCTTAATACGAGCCCTCCCAGAGGCTGAAAAGGGGGATCACACTGCCATCAAGACAGAAGAGCTGGAGGTGGAGTGGAGCATGTCCCAGGACCTGAGATCACTGTCTTGAACCTCTTTGGCAGAGAGACCCGCAGAGAGACAGTGGCAGCAGAGGCAGCAGAACTGAGAGACTGGCACCAGACAGAGCGGTGGGGTTGCCAGCCCAGGGAGCAAGAGAGCTGAGCGCCTCTGGGCAGGAGTCTTTCTGGCAGAGTGGGGTACACCAAAGTGCACTTACCAGCAGACCTGAAAGAGCTTTGTAAAACTTGCCTGAGCAAGGCAGAGGTCAGGCTGAGAGGCCAAGGGCCAAAGAGAAGAGTACCTTTGGGCATGTCCTGATCGAAGAATTGTATCCTGAGCATTCCTGAACCTGAATTGTAACCTGTTACTTCCCTAATAAACCCCATGAGGAGTGTCTGTGCATTCTGAGTGGCCATTGCAACCAGTTATTGAACCCATCAGAGAAGTAGAGACTGCTGTGGGAGGGACGGTTAGTATCAGAATTGATAAGACGGTTGGGTGGTGGCATGTCCCACCTCACAGGAATCAGCTTTAGGCTGTTGGTGTTGAGCCTTCTCTTTCCACATCACAAAGTTAGAGGAGGTGAGAGGATGCTGCCTCCATGCCCTTTTTGCAGTGTGTATACACATATATAGAGTTCCTGAGATGCACAACCCACTCGACTACTAGCCGAAAGGCTGCCAGTTCAAACCCACTGAGAAGTGCCTCAGAAGACAGGCCTGGCTACTGCTTCCAGAAGGTCACAGCCATTGAAGGGCCAATGGAGCAGTTCTACTCTGCACACACAGGGTTGCCATGAGTCAGATCCACTCTACAGCAACTAATATATCCAGACAGAGAAAACCCTACTGAAACTGAATCCTGTAGAATGTTGTGATACAGAATGAATACAAGACACGGCAACTGTCATGTGTGTGTAACAGGCCAAGACTACAGGAATTTATCAGAGAAAAATAAGAGGCAGTGAATTTAAAAAGTGGATGAAAGAGATGATTTGAACAAGTATTGTTATGCTTCCTTTCATAGTGACCCCTCCTTGGGCTTCTGAGGTGGTATCTCTATGGAAGTAGATTGCCCAGTCTTTCTTCTGAAGAGTGGCTCATGGGTTTGAACCACCAGCCTCCTGATTAGCAATCAGATGCCTTAGGCATTATGCCACGAGAGCTTCCCAATGAAGAATTAGAGTTAGCAATTTGTAAATTCCTCTTAGGTTTCTGGAACTGGAAGACAAGAAGCACAGGTATATATGCAGGACACTGTTGTTAGGTGCCAGCTAGTCGGCTCCAACTCATAGCAACCCTGTGTTCAACAGAATGAAACAGGGCCTAGTGATGCACTGTCCTCACAATCCTTGCTGTGCTGGAACCCATTGTCACAGCCATGATGTCAACCCATTTTGTTGAAGGTCTTCCCCTTATTCTATGACCCTCTATTTTACCAAGTATGATATGCTTCTCCAGGGAATGGTTCCTTCTGACCACATGAACAAAAGACGAAGTCTGGCCATTCTTGCTTCCAAGGAGCATTCTGGCTGCACTTCTTCCAGGAAAGATTTGTTCATTTTTCTGGCCTTTCATGGTATTTTCAGCATTCTTCACCAACACCATAATTCAAAGACATCAACTCTTCTTTGATCTTCCTTATTCATTGTCCAGCCTTCACATGCATACGAGGTGACTGAAAATACCATGGTTTGGGTTAGGTGCACCATAGTCTTCAAACATTTTGCTCTTTAACACTTTAATGAGGCCTTTTGCAGCAGATTTGCCCAGTGCAATACGATGTCTGATTTCTTGACTGATGGTTCCATGGGGTGGTGATTGTGGATCCAAGTAAAATGAAATCTTTGACAACTTCAACCTTTTCTCCATTTATCATGAAGCTGCTTATTGGTCCAGTTGTGAGGATTTTATTTTTGTTGATGTGTAATCCATACTGAAGACTGTAGTCTTTGATTTTCATCAGTGCTTCAAGTCATCTTCATTTTCAGTAAGCAAGGTTGTGTCTTCCTCATATTGCAGGCTGTTAATGAGTCTTTCTCCAACCATGGTACTGCATTCTTCTTCATATAGTCCAGCTTCTCAGATTATTTGTTCAGTGTGTTAGGCTGGGTTTTCTAGAGAAGCCATACCAGTAAAGCTTATATATACATATAGAGAAAAAGAAATTTATCTTAGGAAAAATGGCTCACACACTTATAGAAGCTGGCAAGTCCCAAGTTCTTGGATCAAACATCAAGCTGGAGGCTTTTCCCAACTCACACAGCTGCAGGGACTGATGAGCTAAAGGTTGGCAGGCAGTATACTGGCTGTTGACTCCAATGAATGATGAATCCAAGATCTCCAGGCCGAATGGTGGATCGTTCGCTCATGGACAGTTGTAGGCAGCACAACAGGATCCTGATCCATGAAAGAGTGTCTCTTTTCCCAGGATGTCCATAAATATATTGGAAACAGGCCACACCCATAGGGAACCTCCCTTTCAACGGATTGGATGCTCAAAACATATGTATATCCAAGCCCATCATAGGAAAAACCCTCATCACAATTGCTTAAACCACGAAGAATTGTAGTCCAGCCAAGTTTACACACAGCTCCAACCATCACACTCAACATACAGATTGATCAAGTATGGTGAAAGGACACAACCCTGACACACATGCTTCCTGATTTTAAACTATGCAGTATCCCCTTGTTCTATTCAAACAACAGCCTCCTGGGCTACATATAGGTTCCCGATGACACGATCAAGTGTTCTGGAATTCCCATTCTTACAGTGGTATCCATAATTTGTTATGATCCATACAGTCAAATGTCTTTGCAGTCAATAAAGCACAGGTAAACATCTTTCTGGTATTCTTTGCTTTCAACCAAGATTATCTGACATCTGCAATGATATCCCTTGTTCCACACCCTCTTCTGAATCCAGCTTGAATTTTTGGAAGTTCCCTGTCAATATCCTGCTGCAACCATTTTTTAATTTATCTTCAGCAAAATTTTACTTGTGTGTGATATTAATGATATTGTTTGACAATTTCCACATTCTGTAGAATCACCTTTCTTTGGAATGGGTAAATATGGATCTCTTCCAGCCAGATGGCCAGGTAGCTGTCCTCCAAATTCCTTGGCATAATTGAGTGAGTGCCTCCAGTGCAGCATCCATATGTTGAAACATCTCCATGGGTATTCCATCAATTCTGGAGCCTTGTTTTTCCCCAGTTCCTTCAGTGCAGTTTTGACTTCTTCCTTCAATACCATTGGTTCTTTGTCATATGCCCCCTCCTGAAATGGATGAACATTGACCAGTTCTTTTTGGTACAGTGACTCTGTGTATTCCCTCCATCTTCTCTTGATGTTTCCTACATCATTTAATATTTTGCCCATAGAATGGCTCAGTATTGCAACTCAAGGCTTTTCTTTTTCTTCAGTTCTTTCAGCTTGAGAAATGCTGAACATCTTCTTACCTTTTGGCTTTCCAACTCCAGGTCTTTGCACACTTCTTTATAATACTTTACTTAGTCTTCTCAGGCTCTTTTGAAATCTTCTGTTCAGCTCTTTCATTTCATTTCTTCCATTTGCTTTAGCTACTCTCTGTTCAAGAGCAAGCTTTAGAGTCTCTTCTGACATCCATTTTGGTCTTTTCTTCCTTTCCTGTCTTTTTAATGACCTTTTGCTTTCTTCATGTACGATGCTCTTGATGTCATCCCACAACTCATCTGGTCTTTGGTCATGGATGTTTAATGCATTAAATCTATTCTTCAGGTAGTCTCTGAATTCAGGTGGAATATACTCAACATCATATTTGACTCTTGCAGACTCATTTTAATTTCCTTCTGTTTGTCATACTGTGGTTGTTTGCATGTTGCTGTGAGGCTGGAGGCTATCCCACTGGTATTTTAAAAACCTGAAGGGTCACCCATGGTGGACAGGTTTCAGCAGAGCTTCCAGACTAAGACAGACTAAGAAGAAGGATGGGGTCATCCACTTCTGAAAAAAAATTGCCACTGAAAACCTTATGAATAGCAGTGAAACACCATCTGATGCAGGACATTATGTGGGTGTTAACATGATTATAAGAGCTCTGATGGCATAGTACCTAAGGCATTTGACTGCTAACAAGAAGGCTGGTGATTCAAACCCATCAGCCACTCCTCGAAAGGAAGGTTGGGCAATCTGCTTCTGTAGTGATACTGCTTCAGAAACTCAAGGAGGGGTCACTATGAGTCAGATCTGACTCAAAGGCAGTGGGGCTTTAACATGATTATGGAGATCTGTCTGTGCATCAAATCTATGGATGGTGCAAATCATTAATGGGCTCATATGCCAACCAGAAGGATGGTGATTTGAGGCCATCCAGAGGCACCTCAGAAGAAAGCCTTAACTATCTACTTCTGGAAACTAAGCCATTGGAAACTCTATGCAGTAAGCCTAATGGCCTCCATGCATAACTGCTTCCTTTGCCATGAGACCAGAAGAACTGGATTGTGCCCAGCAACTATTACTGAATCCTGACCAAGAGGGTGAAGATGCAGAACAGAATTTCAAATTCTCATGGTATCCAGACCTTCTGGAGTCATGGAGGCTGAATGAACCCCTGAAACTATTGCCTTGAGATAATCTTCAAACCTTAAACAAAATATCCTCAGAAGTCTTCTTAAAGCCAAGGCGTAATTTACCTTAATCCGTAAAGAATGTCTGTCTTAAGTGTTGTGCCTTTTAAAAACTCTCTACGTGGGATCATGTTGACAACAGAAACTCGAAAGGGAAGATAGGAAACTTAGGGGCAATACGTTGATGTTAATGTTGGAGGCGCAACTCAGAAAAGGAGGGTGAGAACGGGTTGCACAGCTCAAAGAATAGAATCAATGTCATTGAATTGTACATGTAGAAATTGTTGATTCTCAACAGCAAAAATAAAATAAATTAAAAAAAAAAAAAAACCCTATGGAGCACAGATCTATTCTTAAACACATGACTCAGTGACAACTGGTTTGGTCCCTGGGTCAGCATTCTTGGGGCAGAGACTGGTGTCTCTGCTGCCCCACACAGCAACCCGTCAACTCACCCAGATCATTCCTCTTTTTGTCCTGAGCCCTTCTGTGTGTCTTATCCTGGAGAGTGAGAAAGAAAGACCAAGAAAGTAAGCATGGTGACTCACGTCCATACTGGGGGCTCCTCAGCCCCTATCTGCACACCCAACAAGGGACCATGCTCATTCCTAGGGTCTCCTGCCTCCTCCCTTCTTTGCCTCACATGGTTTTTCATGCATATAAAGGAGCATGGATGCAAGAAGGTCTTACCTTCTTCATAGTTCCTGCAAAATCTATGGGAAGAAAAAGGAAGTTGTTGAAATGGGAAGCCCATGGAGCAACAAGCCCACCTCACACCTCACACCTTCTCTCCCTATTGTAACCCCATGGAGAGGTAAGTCCACCTTCCACCCTCTCTTCCAGTGGTAACCCCATGGAGAGCCAAACCCACCTCCCACCTTCTCTCCCAATGGTACCTTGCCCATGTCGACCACATGGAGGGACCCTCCCCAAACACTCCTTATGTGCAGGTGCCCGGCACCGATGACAGCGGTAGCCCTGATAGAAGGTGCCTCTGGGATGTGGGGAAAGATGAAAGGGAGTCAATAATTTTAACTGACACAGCCAACCATAGTGCCAACCAGCCCCAGCATGAGGGGCCCCTTGGGCTCTGTGCAGAGCAGGAGCGAGATGGAGAAGCTGAGGACCAAAGCAGAGTCTCACACCTCCCAACTCAAGGAGCCCCTGTAGAGAGGAGAACCAACGAAGGCCAGAACCCAGGCCCATCCCCCAGCCCCCACCTCAGCAACATCTGGCAGGCTGAACAGGAGGTGGTGTCCTCGAAGGAGAACATCTGGAAGTCATGCCCATTGGCAGTGGCATTCTCGGGATAGATGTTGGAGCTGGAGGGGAAAGTAAATGGAGAGAGGAATAGGACCTCATTACTGTTTGTTATCATCATGGGTTCTTTTGAGTCGATTCTGACTCATACTGACCCCATGTGGCAAAGAAGAACTTCCCCACAGGGTTCTCTTGCCTGTAATCTTTGCGGAAGCAGATCATCAAGGCTTTCTCTCATGGAGAAGCTGGGTGGGTCCGAACTTCCAACCTTCTGGTTAGCAACTAAGTGCTCAACCATTGTATCACCAGGGTTCCTTGCTTATGGCTGAGTAATATCATCTTGTGTGGAGAGACCACATATTGTTTATCTGTTCATTCACTGATGGACATTTGGGTTATTTCTATCTTTTGGCTATTGCAAATAGTGCTGCTGTGAATGTTCATAGAGATAGAAAGCAGATCCGTGGTCTCCAGGGATGGGGAGGAAGGAGCCTAGGTGGTACAAGCAGTGTGCCATCAGCTGCTAACCTAAACACTGGTGGTTTGAACTCATTCAGTGGCTCTGTAGAAGATGACCTGATCAGGGGCTTGCAGGTAAGTGACATCTTGCTGTTCCCAACTCCCAGTTCCAGCCTCACCTGGGCAAGAAGAGTGATTCTGTGCAGACACGGACAAAAAAGAATGACCTGGCAGATTGCTTCTGTAAAGATGACAGAACACTGCTAGATAGGTAGAGACAAGCATTGATTTGGGTGAAGGGAAGAGCAATGTACTAAATGTGAGTGATCAACACAGTGGCATTGAGGAAGACAGAGAGAGGTACACAGGAGGTACAGACAACAAAGATGAAATCTTTTGCTCATACAGTACTGCTTTGTCAGTGATGGCAGGCATTGATCTGTGGGTGGACAGATGGCTGGACAGGCTAGATGATCAGGGGGAAGTGTGCCCATGACCATGTATAGGGTTGGCAGACAATGTTTCTGCTTATGTGTTTGTATGTATTGTAAGAATGTCCGGGTGTATGTTAGAGCTGACAATGGACAAGATTGTGGTGGCTTCTTGGCCACAGCCAGCTACCCTTAGGGAGTGAGTAGTTGGTCCTATGGACTTGGAACCATGGTTGCAAGAGACATCAAACTCAACTGGCATAACATACTACACAAAAACATTGTTCTACATCCTACTTTGGTGAATAGCGACTGGGATCTTAAAAGCTTGCAAGTGGCCATCTAGGTGCAATGATGGGTCTCTCCTCATCCAGAGCAAGGAAGAATGAAGAAAAGCAAAGACTCATGGAAAGAATTAGTCCAAGAGACTGGTAGACCATGTGATCTTCAGCCTATGGTACCATAAGTCCAGAAGAACTAGACGGTGCCCGGCTACCACAGTCAACCACTCAGGATATTAGTGCAGGAGATCCTGGATAGAGTGGGAGAACAATGTGGAACAAAACTCAAAATCATTTAAAAAAAAAAAAAAAAAGACCAGGTTTGCTGGTCTGACAGAGCCTGGTGAGACCCCTGAGACTATGGACCCTAGTTATCCTTCAGGTCTGGAACTGAACTCACTTCTGTGGCTTCCAGCCAAACAATAGACAGGCATATGGGGTGAACATTTACATCAGGTAGATACACTCCGTGGAGCTATCACAGAGTTTGCACAGGAGACAGCTCAGGGGGTGGGAGTGCATGGGAAGGAAGAGGCGACTACAGGAAGGAAATGGGAAGAAAGTTGTTACATGGTGGGGAATTGCAGTCAATGTCATAAAACAAAATGTGTATGAACTGCTGTATGGAAAATGAATTTGCTCTGTAAACTTTCACCCAAATCACAATAAAAAAAAAAAAATTCTTTTAAAATTGAAAATTAAAAAAAAAAAAAAAAAGCTGACAGCCTAGAAAATCCTATGGAGTGGTTCTGCTGTGCAGCACATCGGGTCACCATGAGTCAGGGAGGAGGCGGGAGCAGGAGTGACTGCTAATAGGTACAGAGTCTCCTTTTGGGATAATGAAATATTTTGGAATTAGATAGAGGGAAAATTTACACAACATAATGAATGTACTAAAGGTCACTGCATTGTACACTTCAAACTGATTCCTTCTTGGTTAGGTGAATTTCACCCCAATGAGGGAAGGAGAACAAAGGGAAGAGGTGGTGGCTACAGCTTGCACGGAACCCTGGAACCTTGAGCCTGCCCCTTCTATTTCCCAAATGGGGAGATGGGGGCTCAGAATGGAACAGACTCATCTGAGGTGCCACGGAACGTCAGGGCAGAGCTAGGACTAAAGCACAGAACCGCCTCCCAGCCCCTGGGGATGGATAGATAGAGGGAGGAAGGGCTCACATGGCCATGTCGAACTGCTCCATCCACTTCTTCTTCAGCTCCCGCGTCTTGAAGAACAGCTCATAGCCCTGAGTGCCTTGGTCTTCAATCAGGAGAAACATGTGGGTCCACTACAAAGAAGCAGGGATCAGACTGAAGGAACTCACCCACAGAGGGTGATGCCACATACCCACCAACCCTGCCCCTGTGAAAGTAAAAAGGTCAGGTCAATGGCAACATTCTGCAGAGGGTGGGACCACGTGCCCAATAACAGTACTTCTATAAAAAACCAAACCAGTTGCATCAAGTCAATTCTGACTGACAGTGACCCCACATATGTAGAGTAGAACTATGTCATAGGGTTTCTTTCATGGCTGTGATCTTTCAGAGGCAAATGACCAGGACCTTCTTCCAAGGTGCCTCTGGGTGGGTTTGAACCACCAACCTTTTGGTTAATAGCCAAGTGGCTGTTGGTGCCACCCTGGGACTCTCCTACACCTGTAATGCCCATTGTTATTGAGTTGATTCCAATTCATGGCAACCCCATGTGTCACAGAGTAGAACTGCTCTATAGGTTTTCTTAACTGGAATCTTTATTAAAGCAGATTTCCAGGCCTTTCTCCTGCAGCACCACCAGGTGGGTTCGAACCACCAACCTTTAGGTTAGTAGTTGAGCCCAAACTATGCCACCCAGAGACCTTCCCATACCCCTGTAAGAGCCAGGGGGAAAAAAGGGGGGGGGAACCAATAGCAGCATCCTGCCAAGGTTGGGACTCCCAGAACTTGCCCCAAGGGAGCCATGCATGGGGACCCTTGTAAAGGACTACCCAGGATATCTAGTGCACACTCACAAGCCCAAAATCTCACACACACACACACAGACACCTCACACATTTGTCCTCCATACATTTGTTTGTCCAACAAGCATTTGTTGGGTGCCTACTGAGTGACAGGCTCTGAGCTAGGTGCTGGGGACAGAGCAGTGGGAAGGATGCTGTGGTGGTTAAGTGTGATGTCAATTTGGCTGGGCCTGGTTGAGTGGCTGGGCAGCTGACTATAGTTATTCCCCATGGTGAGATTGGTAATTAACTCCCTGGTGGAATCTATTGGAGCAGCTGAATAGTTGCTTTGGGTATGTGGTCTGGTTCCCATATATAAGCTACAGCTTTGAGAATGGTCTTTAGCTTATGGCACACTTGAACCCTGCATGTAGCCATGTCGTTGTTCAGCAGCCTTCCACGCTCTGCCGACCTAGGGGCTTTCAATGGACTTGAATTAATGGCCTGCTGTGTGGTTTGGTAACATCAGGACTGTGCCTTTTTACTTGTCAACCTTGGGCTTGTCAGTCTCAGCAGCCAGCAGCTGAGTGAAAAAACCTCCAGCTTCATTGGGCCAGGAACAGGAGGCAGAGCTAAAGCCAAGGTTGAGGGGCTTTCACCCAGCCCCTAGAGCTTGGTACTTTAAACTAGGACTTAAAGCCTCCAAACTGTAAGAGAATAAACTCCTGTTTCTTCAAGGCATCCCATTTGTGGTACATTCCTATCAGAGTGGCACCAGGTAACCAAAACAGATGCTGTCTCCACAGTCAGACCCATAAACAGGTCATTATAGGAGAGCCATTAGCCCCATGGAGGGACTGGGCTGAGAAACAGGAGTAGCTGCCAGAGAAACAGGGGGGTACCTGGAAGAGCCTAAGGAGAGAGGAAGAGGTGGCCAGTGGAAAGAGAGGAAGGAGGTGAGGGAAGCAGCAAGTGAGAGGACTGCCCCACCCAGAGAACATCCCTGACCAATGGAGCTCCACCCTCACCCCCTCATGGCTACATCACCCTGTCTACTTTCTTTGTAGGACATATCACCATCTTTTCCTTGTTTCCCACAAAAACGGAAGCTCCACAGGACAGAAGAGGGGCCATGTCTGTGTTGTTTTCAGTTACATTCCTAGCACCTAGAAATGTGCCGAGAAACTGGACTATATGTATATGAAGAAGAATGTAGCACCAGGATTGGAGGAAGACACATTAACAACCTGTGATATACAGATGACACAACCTTGCTTGCTGAAAGCCAAAAAGGCTAGAAGCACTAACTGATGATCAAAGACTACAGCCTTCACTATGGATTACACTTCAACGTAAAGAAAATGAAAATCCTTATAATCGGACCTATAAGCAACATCATGATAGATGGAGAAAAGATTGAAGTTGCCAAGGATTTTGTTTTACTTGATTCCACAATCAGCACTCATGGAAGCAGCAGTCAAAAAATTAGATGACGTGTTGCACTGGGCGAATCTGCTGCAAAAGACCTCTTTAAAGTGCTGAGGAGCAAAGATGTTTTTGTTCATTTGAAGACTAAGGTGCACCTAACCCAAGCCATGGTATTTTCAATAGCCTCATATGCGCATGAAAGCTGACAATGAATAAGGAAGACTGAAGAATTGATGTCTTTGAGCTGTGGTGCTGGAGAAGAACACTGAAAGTACCATGGACTGTCAGAAGAATGAACAAATACGTCCTGGAAGAAGTGCAGCTGGAATGCTCCTTGGAAGCGAGAACGGCCAGACTTCGTCTCACCTACTTTGGTGGTGTTGTCAGAGGGGACCATTCCCTGGAGAAGGACATCATGCATAGTTAAGTGGAGGGTCAGTGGAAAAGGGGAAGGCCCTCAATGAGATGGACTGACGGTGACTGCTACGAGCTCAGGCATAGCAAGGACTGTGAGGATGGGGCAGGATGGGGCAGGGTTTCATTCTGTTGGATGTAGGGTTGCTGTGAGTCAGAACTACTTGATGGCACCTAACAACAACAACAGAAAATAAAATAAACCGTCGTCATTGCTTTCATTCCAACTCACGGTGACCCCATGGTTTACAGAAGAACTGCCCCAGAGGGTTTTCTTGGCTGTCCTCTTTAGGGGACGGGCCCTGATGGCACAACATTTAAGCACTCCTGCACACTTGTACACACACACACACACACTCCAAAGGCCCGGTTGAGAGTCCCAATCTGCTCCGGACAGGATCCCAGTTCTGGCCTAAGAGCCCACCTTCTTGTTGTCTCGGTCTCCGGAGGAGTCGTCGCGAACCTGGAAGCTGTGCAAGTTCACGAATTCCTTGAGGTCGTAGGAGTCCCCGCGGCGCTTACAGATGAGGAGGGCTTTGTCGAGCAGGAAGGCGTACCTGGGAGCGACCAGGTCCGGTGTTCTTATCCGGCACCCCTACTTGTCCCCATCAACTCTCTGCCTGGTTCCCTCCACCTTCCTGGCTCCACCTAGACACCTCGACACCTCCAAGTTTCCTCTTTCACCCCCCAGCTTGGCCCGGCTCACCAGTCGCTCTCTGCCTCCACCCACAAGACTTGTATTGATCCCGCCCACATGTCCTTCCTGGCCCTGCCCTGTCAGTCTCTCTTAGCCCCACCCACCTGTCTGTCTGGGAGCCTGGCCCCGTCCCTCCGGGCCCCGCCCACCTGTCCATCTTGGAGCGCCGCTCTGCAGAGGTAATCTTGAGCTCTCCGTCAATCTTGGGTCGGCCGTAGTGAGCTAGAGACTGGTCCTGCACAGCAGAGAGAGGGTCGGTCAAGGGGCCACCACGAAAAGGCCCAGATACCTCCCCACTGTGACCACATCCCTGGCCCAGGCCCCACTCCCTCACCAGGTTCTCAATGGACAGCTGGAAGTTGGTGATCTGCCGCAGCGTCTCGTTGTCTCTCTTCACCTCGTTCACGCACTGCGCCAGGTCCTGAGGGCAGAGTAGGGGTGAACGTGGACCCCATGTGGCCCGGTCCTCCACCTGGTCCAGCATAGGGGGCTCGCCCCTACCAGGGGCCTAAAGAGGGCTTAGTGACAGGGTGTCCACAGCATAGCATAGTACTGTGTCCCCAGGGGCAACTACAAACCACTGGTCTTAAGGGACAAGATTGTAGTCACTTCTTGGCGACAGCTAGCTACCCAGAGGGAGTGAGTACTTGGACCTGTTGGCTTGGGACCATAGTTGCAGGGGACATCAAGCTCAATTGGCAAAACGTACTACACAAAAACATTGTTCCACATCCTACTTTGGCAAGTAGCAACTGGGATCTTAAAAGCTTGCAAGCGGCCATCTGGATGTAACAAGGGGTCTCTCCTCATACAGAGCAAAGAAGAATGAAGAAAACCAAAGACACATGGAAACAATTAGTCCAAGGGACTGGTACACCATGTGATGCTCAGCCTGTACAACTATGAGACCCGAACTAGATGGTGCCTGGCTACCACTGTCAACCACTCACAGGGGGGTTTATGTAGGAGATCCTGGGTAGAGTGGGAGAACAATGTGGAACAAAACTCACAATCATTTAAAAAAAAAAAAAAAGGGGGGGGGGGACCAGGTTTGTTGGTCTGATGGAGCCTGGTGGAACCCCTGAGACTATGGCCTCTAGCTGCCCTTCAGGTCTGGAATTGAACCCACTCCTGTGGCTTCCAGCCAAGCAAAAGACAGGCAAATGAGATGAACATGTACATTAGGTAGATACACTCCTTGAAGAGATCAATCATTGGAGAATAGAAGGGCTGTGTATGCACAGGGAGACTGCTCAGGGGGCAGGAGTGCATGGGAGGGAAGGACACAGGGAAGAGGTAACTATGGGGAGGAAGTGGGAGGGGAGCTGTTGCATTGTGGGAAATTTCAGTCGACATCATAAGACAAAGTGTCTGTGAGCTGCTGTATGGAAAGTGAATTTGCTCTATAAACTTTCACCCAAATCACAATAAAAATTTAATAATAATAATAATAATAATAAAACCACTGGTCTTATGGACTTGTCGCTATGTGGTGGGGCGAAGAGTAGACTGTGGGTGTGATGTCACTGCCTTGAGCGTGTGTGAAGTGTGTGTTGGCATTGGTGGTGGTGTTAGCTGCTGTCCAGTCAGCCCTGGACTCCTGGCCACCCCATGCCAGGGAATGGAATGCTGCCTGGTCCTGCACCATCCCATGATGGGTTGCGGGTTGGACTGTCATGATCCGCAGAGTTTTCATGGCTGATCTTTGGAAGTTAATCACCAGGCCTTTCTTGCTAGTCCGTCTTTGTCTGGAAGCTCTGCTGACACCTGTTCCGCCTCCTAGCATCACGCCAGCCTCCACAGACGGACGGGTGGGGGCTGGGCATGAGCTGCACTGGCCAGGAATCGAACCCGGCTCTCCTGCATGGGAGGGAAGAAATCTACCACTGAACCACCCTGCTTCATGAAGGTGTGTGTTCTCATTGTCGGGCACCATCAGATCAATTCCAACTCATAGAGACCCCGTGTGACGGAGCAGAACTGCCCCACAGGGTTTTCTTTACAGGAGCAGATCACCAAGTTCTTCTCTTGAGGAGCCTCTGAGTGGGTTTGAACTGCCAACCTCTGGGTTGGCAGCTGAGTGTTTAACCCTTGCACCACCAGGGCTCCTAGAAGGTGTGTGTGAGCCCTGAAACTCTAGAGTCTCCTGGCCTCTCTGCATGTGTCCCTGGGTGTGACTGTCACCCCATCACTTCCAGAAGATTCCCAGCATCACTTGTCTAGCCCTCCTTCCCACTCACCCGCATGGCGTCCAGGGCCAGCCTCAGGTTCTCCTTCTCCACCGTGTCCTGCGTGTGTTTCACCAGCTCCTGTGGGACCCAGGGAGTCAGGTGTCACCCAGGCAGACCCCTCCTGGCCCAGTGGCTCCTCCTCCATCTACGCCATCTCCCTGGAGGCAGGAATGACCCCAACAACCCATCCCAGCAGCACCTCCACCCAAATGCGTGCACCATACCTGGAGAAGGAGGTGGTACTTGAGCACCCGCTGCATGGGTACCATGAGCAGATCCCGCAAGGTGAACCTCCCATTGTTTGCTCGCTGAGAACACTCCTGGGGGGGGTGGGCAGGGGCAGAGAATGAGGTAAGGCTGGAAGCCGGTGCTCTGGCTGAGCTGGCAGTGGGGAGGGTCACAGGCAGACCCAAAGCTGAGCAGGTTCTCCCTAGCACCCAAAGCACTATATGCTCCCCATCCCCCTGGCAATAAGGAGGCAAGATACTGCTATGAATTGAAGTGGGTCCCCAGAAAATATGTGCTGCAAATCCCCTGGTGGCACAGTGGTTAAGCGCTTGCTACTAACTGAAATGTTGGCGATTCAAACCCACCAGACATAGGGAAAAAATGTAGCAGTCTGTTTCCATAAAGATTCCAAAACCAAAACCAAACTCACTGCTGTCAAGTTGTTTACAACTCATAGTGACCCCTCCTTGGGTTTCTAAGGCTGTGTCTCTACGGAAGGAGATTTCCCAATCTCCTTCCCAGGAGTGGCTGGTGCATCTGAACCACCAGCTTTCTGGTTAGCAGTCAGATGTCTTAAGACTCTACACCACCAGAGCTCCCTCCACAAAGATTACAGCCTTGGAAACCCTTTGGAGCAGTTCTACTCTGTCCTATAGGGTCACTGTAAGTTGGGATGGACTTGATGGACAATGGGGTATTTTTATACCTGTGCATGTGACCCCATCTGGAAATAGGTTTTCTTTGTTATGTCCATGAGACATTATCAGTGTATGGTGTGTCTTAAACCAATCACTTTTGACATAAAAAAGGAATAGATTAGGCACAGAAGCAAAGGAGCACAGATAGGGTAGATGCCATGTGGAGATCTAGCATGGATGGAGGTAGACTGATGCCACATGTAGACCTAGCACAGATGGGTAGACTGATGTCATGTGGAGATCTAGCATGGATGGAGTAGATTGACGCCATGTGGAGATCTAGCACAGGTGGAAGTAGACTGGTGCCATGTGGAGATCTAGCACAGATGGTGTAGACTGATGCCACGTGGAGATCTAGCATGGATGGGGTAGACTGAGGCCATGTGGAGATATAGCAGGGATGGGGGTAGATTCATGCCATGTGGAGATCTAGTACCAAAGGGGTAGATTGAGGCCACGTGGAAATCTAGCATGGACAGGGTAGACTGATGCCATGTGGAGGTCTAGCAAGGATGGAGGTAGACTGATGCCACGTGGAGATCACCAAGGAGCACCAAGAAGCTAAGATGAGGATTTTTCCCCAGAGCAGACAGAGCCTTCCCCTAGAGCTGGCAGCACCTCCTTGAGGTGTTTCTGTTTCAGTAGCACTAAGAAGGTAAGAGCTCTGGTGGCTTAGTGGGTGAGGCATTTGGCTGCTAACCAGAAGGTCAGTGGTTCAAACCCACTAGCTGCCCCATGGAAGGAAGATGGGGCAATCTACTCTGTAAAGATTTACAGCCTCAGAAACCCAATAGGGGTTGCTAAGAGTCAGAATTCACTCGATGGCAGGGAGTTTGGAGTTTTTTGAGGACAGAGGTCATGGGGTGGGCAGTGGTTTAAGAGCCAGCCAGAAGGTCTGTGGACACTGCCCAGGGTAGAAGGCCAGGACTCAGCAGCTGACTGGGGCTGGAGAAGGGGGAAGGGAGATGTCTGGAGCCCCCTACCCCACCGTGCAGATCAGAGAGGGTGGATGTTGGGGCACACGGGAGCATGTCTTTATCCCTGCTCTTGTCTGTGGCATCAAGTCGTGTTTCCACTGGACACACTGGCCAGGGTTTAGTCTGGGTTGAGCTCAGCCTGTGGGCAGGGTTGGCTGGGGTCACCCTTAGACTGAAGTTGGGGCTCAGCTGGGGTTGGGGATCAACCAGAGTTGGGGCTCAGTTCAGAGTTGGGGCTCTGCCAGAGTTGGGCTTGGCACAGAGTTTGGGCTCTTCCAGGATTGGGGCTCAGCCCATAGGTGAGGTTCAGCCTGAGGTTGTTCTCCACCTGATATCAGGGCTTAGCCCAGGGTTGGGTACTCAGTGTAGGAGCAGCTCCAAGTCTGAAGTCTGGGAATCAGCTCTGAGTGGGGGCTTGGCAGGGTTGGGGCTCTGTGCTTTGGCCCGTTTCCCCCACATGCCTCCCTCCCCAGGTTCTGGGGACCCTGGCTGGGCTGCAGCAGAAAGCAAGTCTCCAGCTCCCATTCCCTGCCGCTGCCCTTGGGGCCTGGGAAGGAGTAGACGAGCCCTCATCTGTGGTGCGAACCCCACCTCCAGCTTCATCTGCACGTCCTCACGAGCTGATGCCACACGGTCCAAGTGCTTGCTGGCAGACTCCACCTGGCTACAATAGCGGCCATAGATAAGGAACCTGTAGGAAGAAGACAGGCCACTGAGTGACGGGAGCCAGTGCCAAGATCAGCCCAATCTGGGTATCAGTATTGGCCCCATGTCTTCCCAGCTGGGTCACTCTGAGCCTCAGTATTTTTCATCTGTAAAATGGGTGCAGGGGCCCCTGATTAAGCACTCGGCTCATCACCAAAATGTTGGCGACTGGAACCCATCAGCAGCTCCGTGAGAGAAAAGAACTGAAGATCTGCTCCCATAAAGATGACAGCCTATGGGGCAGTCCAGCTGTCACATGGGTCACTATGAATCAGAATGGACTGGACAACACTAACAACAAATTAAGTTGTGGCAAATGAAGAAGAGAAACCAAAACACTATTAGGCTGGTGGGCTGGATTGTCCCTCCAGACTGTGATCCTAATCTTCCAAACTGAGAGAACTAGTCCCAGAAGCTGTGTACCACACTGATTTTGCACGTGAGGAGGCAGAAGTCAGAGAGGTTAAGTAACTTCCCAGTAACACATGCTCACAACTGGTGGAGCTGAGAACTGAACCAGAGATGGACAGCCCCTTGCCCCCATGAGCCCTCAGCACACAGTCATCATCCATGTCCAGTGGTCTCTGGAACATCCAGCCTGGTCTCACCTCTCCTTGTACTTGATAAAGACCTGGTAGAGGTTGAGAGCACTGGGAGTGGCCAGGGCTTCCTTCATCTCCTTCAGAAAGTGGGTGTGCACACGAAGCAGGTCCTATTTGAAGAGAGAAGTGAGAGCTGGAGTGCACGTGGGGGCGGGGGGAGTTGGCCCAGCAGGCCGGGGGCGGGGAGGGGTCATCTACCCACCTATTATGGATTGAAATGTGTCCTCCAAAAAATATGTGTTAGAAGCCTAACCCTTAGACTTGTGAAGGGAGTCCCTGAGTGGCAAAAACAACTAACTGCTTGACTAGTAACCAAAAGGTTGGCGAACTGAACCACCGGCCCCCCAGAGGCGCCTTAGAAGAAAGCCCCAACAATCTGATTCCAGAAAGTCCATGCCCTTGAAAACCGTGTGAAGTGAAGCTCTACTGTGACACACACAATGGCGCCACGAGTTGGAATCAACTCAACAGCAGATGGTACTGATACTGGTATACCTGTGGACGCAATCCCATTGTGAATTGGGTTTTCTTTGCTGTGCCAGTGAGGCCATAGCATTGTAGGGTATGTCTTAAACCTACATTTTTGAGATCTAAAAAGGGCAGATCAGGCCCACACAAGTGGGCACTGAGGAAGACAGAGCTCATGTGAGGATCATCAAGGAATGAGGAACTCCAGGGTTAAAGAAGCTGACGCAGGGACCTACCCTGAGCTGACGAAGAGCCTCCTCCTAGAACCAGTGCCCTGAATTCAGACTTCTAGCCTTCCAACTACGAGAAAATAAATTTCTGTTCCTTAAAGCCACCCACTTGTGGTGTTTCTGTTATTGTTGTCACTGGCCATCGAGGCTGTTCTGACTCATGGTGACACCATGTGTGCAGAGTAGAACATGTGCTCCACAGGGTTTGCAGGGCTGGGACCTTTCAGAAGCAGATTACCAAGCGTGTCTTCCAAAGGACCTCTGGATGGGATCAAAACACCCTTTCGGCCAGTATCTAAGGGCTTAACTGTTTGCCCCAGCCAAGGACTCTGGTACTTCTGTTACAGCAGCCCTAGAAACTAAGACACTGCTCTACATTTCTCAACACCCAACCCTACACTCTGGGGCCAGGTGGAGCTGGCAGAACATCCCCTCTAGACAAAGACAGGGACCGAGATCCAGGAGGGCTGGGGAGCAGCCAGCTCACCTCGATGTTGGTGAAGATGATCTCGATGTCTTGAGGTTTGAGGAACCTCTGTAGGGGCTTCATGAAGTGCTGCAGGGAGGCAGAAAAGGATGAGGAAGGTGGTATCCCCTTCCTCCAACCCAACCCCAGGGGACAGGGACAAGGAGATAGAAACAGACAGAGACAGAGAGATAAGGAGAGACTGTGTGGAGAAAGAAAGCAAAAAACAAAGACGAGGAAACAAACACTGACAGAGAAAGAGACAGACAGATAAAGAAATATGGAGAATTTCCACAAAAACCTGTCCATGAATGTTCATTGCAGTGCTATCCACAATAGCCAAAAACTGTAGACAACCCAATAGTCTACCAACCGGTGAATGGATAAACAAAATGTGATGCATGCAAACAATGGAATATTATTCAGCCATAAAAAAGAAATGAAGCACTGATACATGCTGTGGCACTGATACATGCTGTGACATGGATGAACCTTGAAAAATTATGCTGACTGAAAGAAATCAGACACAATGGACAAGTATTGCTGTTGTTGTTGTTAGGTGCTATCAAGTCGTCTCCAACTCATAGCGACCACATGCACAACAGAACAAAACATTGCCTTGTCTTGGGCCAGCCTCACGATCCTTGCTATACCTGAGTCCATCATTGCAGCCACTGTGTCTATCAAGTATTGTATGATTCCATTTATAGGAAATGTCCAGAACAGGCAAATCCATTGATACAGGAAGTAGATAAGTGGTTGCCTAGGGATTGGGAGGAAGAAGAAATGGGGAGTTGCTGCTAATGGGTAAGGATTTCTTGTAGTTGTTGTTGTTAGGTAGCGTCAAGTTGGTTTTGACTCATAGTGACCCCATTACAACAGAATGAAACACTGCCCAGTACTGTGTCATCCTCATAATCATTGTTTCAGCTCATTGTTGTAGCCACTGCATCAATCCATCTCCTGCAGGGTCTTCCCCTTTTTCACTGACTCTCCTTTACTAAGCATGATGCCCTTCACCAGGGACTGGTCCCTCCTGATGACCTGTCCAAAGTATGTGAGATGAAGTCCCACCATCCTTGCTTTTGAGGAGCATTCTGGTTGTATTCTTCCAAGACAGATTTGTTCATTCTTCTGACAGTCCAAGGTATATTCAATATTCTTCCCCAACACCATAATTCAAAGGCATAAATTTTCCGCAGTCTTCCTTATCCACTGTCTAGCTATGCATGCATATGAGGATATTGAAAAAACCATGGCTTGGATCAGATGCACCTTAGCCTTCAAAGTGACATCTTTGTTTTTTAACACTTGAAAGAGATTTTTTGCCACAGATTTCCCCAGTGCAGTATGTCATTTGATTTCTTGACTATGGCTTCCATAGGCACTGATTGTGGATCCAAGTTAAATGAATTCATTGACAGCTTCAATCTTCTCCATTTATCATGATGCTTATTGGACCAGTTGTGAGGATTCTTGTTTTCTTTACGATGAAGTGTAATCCATACTGAAAGCTGTAGTCTTTGGTCTTTATCAGTAAGTGCTGCTTCTTCACTGTCAGCAAGTAAGGTTGTGTCATATGCATATCACAAGTTTTTGGAGTCTTCCTCCAATCCTGATGCTGTGTTCTTTATATAGTCCAGCTTCCCAGATTATTTGCTGAGAAGCATACAGATTGAATAAATTTTGTGAAAGGATATACCCCTTATGCACACCTTTCCTGATTTTAAACCATGCAGTATACCCTTGTTCTGTTCAAACAACAGCCTCCTGGTCTATGTACAGGTTCCTCAGGAGCCCAATTGAGTGTTTTGGAATTCCCATTCTTCACAATGTTACCCATAATTTTTTATGATCCACACAATCAAATGCCTTTGCATAGTCAATAAAGCACAGGTAAACATATTTCTAGTATTCTTTGCTTTTAGCCAAGATCCATCTGACATCAACAATGATATTCCTTGTTCCTCGTCCTCTTCTAAAGCAGGTATGAATTGCTGGCCATTCCCTGTCAATTTGCTGCTGCTGCTGCAACAGTTTTTTAATTATCTTCAGCAAAATTTTACTTGTGTGTGATATTAATGATATTGTTTGATAGTTTTGCATTCTATTGGATCACCCTTCTTTGGAATGGGCACAAATATGAATCTCTTCCAGTTGGTTCACCAGGTAGCTGTCTCCTAAATTTCTTGGCCTCCAGCACCTCATCTGTTTGTTGAAATATCTCAATGGGTATTCCATCAACTCCTGGAGCCAAGTTTTATGCCAATCCCTTCAGCACAGCTTGGATTTCTTCCCTCAGTACCATCAGTTCTTGACCATATGCTATCTCCTGAAATGGTTGAACATTGATCAATTCTTTTTGGTACAGTGACTCTGTATTCCTTCCATCTTCTTTTGATGCTACTTTTGATGCTTCATTCAATATTCTGCCCATAGAATCCTTCCATATTGCAACTCAAGGCTTGAATTATGTCCCCAGTTCCTTGAGCTTGAGAAATGCCAACCGTGTTCTTTTTGGTTTTCTAACTCCAGGCCTTTGCACATTTCATTATAATACTTTACTTTACCTTTTCAAGCCACCCCTTGAAAATGTCTGTTCAGCTCTTTTATTCTTTTTTCTTTTCCCTCCATCATTTCCTCCTTTTGCTTTAGCTATTCTACGTTCAAGAGCAAGGTTCAGAGTCTCTTCTAACATCCACTTTGGGCTTTTCTTTCTTTCACACCTTCTTAATTATCTTTTTCTCATGTCCTTTTGCTTTCTTGATGTATGATGCCCTTGATGTCATCCCATAACTCATCTCGTTTTGTCATTAGTGTGCAATGTGTCAAATCTATTCTTCAGATGGTCTCTGAATTCAGGTGGGATATACTCAAGGTCATATTTGGCTCTCATAGACTTGTTTTCATTTTCTTCAGCTTCAACTTGAAGTAGCATATGACCAACTGATAGTCTGTTCTGCAGTTAGTGCCTGGCCTTGTTCTGACTGACACTGAGCTTCTTTATTGCCTCTTTCCTCAGATGTAGTAGATTGGATCCCTGTGTATTACATCAGCAATTTCTATATGCATAGTCGCCATTTATGTTGTTGAAAAAAGGTACTTGCAATGAACAGGTTGTTGGTCTTGCAAAATTCTTTCACGTGATCTCTGGCATCATTTCTATCATGAAAGCTGTATTTTCCAACTACTGATCCCTCATTGTTTCCAACTTTCTCATTCCAATCACCTGTAATTATCAATACATCTTGAGTGAAGTTTGATCAATTTCAGACTGAAGAAGTTAGTAAAAATCTTCAATTTATTTCTGTTTGGCCTTAGTGATCGATGCATAAATTTGAATAATAGTCATATTAAGTGGTCTTTCTTGTAGGTGTATTCATATTGTCCCATTATGGATAACGTTGTACTTCAGGATAGATCTTGAAATGTTCTTTTTGATGATGAATGCAACACCATTCCCCTTCATTTTGTCATTCTTGGCATACTAACCCATATCTCATTCGAAATGGCCAGTATCAGTCCATTTCAGCTCACTAATGCCTAGGACATCCATCTTTATGACTTCCATTTCATATTTTACAACTTCCAATTTTCTGTCCACCACTCATCTGTCAGTTTGTCATACTGTGGTGGCTTGTGTGTTGCTGTGAGGCTGGAAGCTATGCCCCTGGTATTTCAAATACCAGCAGGGCCACCCGTGGCGGACAGGTCTCAGTGGATTTCCCAAACTAAAATAGACTAAGAAGAAGGACCTGATGGCCTACTTCTGAAAAAATTGGCCAGAGAAAACCCTATGAGTAGCAGTAGAACACTTTCTGTAAAAGCGCCATAAGATGAGCCCCTTAGCTTGGAAAGGACTCAAAATACAGCCAAGGAAGAACTGCCTCCTCAAAGTAGAGTTGACCTTAATGATGTAGATGGAGTAAAATTTTGAGGACCTCCTTTGGTGATGTGGCATGACTCAAGATGAGAAGAAACATTCCTTAATAATGAGAATGTGGAATGTACAAAGTATGAATCCAGGAAAACTGGAAGTTGTAAACAAATGAAGTGGAACAATGAAATGGAACAGGATTTTCTTTAGGGATAATGAGAATATTCTGAATTAGATAATGGTGCTGATTTCACCATCACCTCATGCATGACCTTATGAATATACTAAAAAACCACTGAATTGTACAGTAAGTAGGTGACTGGTATGATATGTGAATTGTATCTCAAGAAAGCTATTGAAAAGGATCGTTGCTGATGCAAATGGTTGAGCACTGAGCTGCCAACTGAAAGGCTGGAGGTTCAAACCTACCTAGCAGCTCCATGGGAGAAAGCCTTGGAAATCCGCTGCAGTAAAGATTGCGTGGTTGTGTGCCAGAGTCGATTCTGACTCAAGGTGCACCTACAGGACAGAGGAGAACTGCCCCATAGGGTCCCCTAAGCTGACATCTTCATGGGAGCCCAGCACCAGGTCTTTTCTCCCACGGAGCTGCTAAGAAAGAAAGCAATCAAGCTCACTGCTGCTGAGTCAGATCCGACTTATAGTGACCCCTCCTTGCTTTTCTGAGGTGGTTTCTCTACAGAAGTAGATTGCCTAACCTTCCTTCTGAGGAGTGGCTGGTGGGTTTGAACCACCAAACTTCTAGTTAGCAGTCAAATGCCTTAGGCACTACGCCACCAGAGCTCCCAGTGGCCTCAAACTGTCAACTCAGTAAGCAGCTAAGTGCTTAAGCGTTGAAGCACTAGGGCTCCTTCTCATGAAGATTACAGCCTAGAAAACCTTATGGGGCATTCTACTCTGTCACACGTGGTTGTTTTGAGTTGGAATGGACTTAATGGCACCTAACAACAACAAAAACTTAAAAAGAGAGATGGTGAGAGGAAAGAGACAATAGAGGAGACAGACAGGGGTGAGGACACAGGAAATGAGAGCGACAGGGAGGGAGAGACACCGGGAGAGGGAAACAGAGAAGAAATAGGGAGAGAAAGAGGAAGAAAGAGAGACAATCATGGGAGCCAATGGATGGACAGAGCCAAGGATACAGGAAAAGATGGACAGGCACAGAGATAAAGAGACACATAGGGAGAGAAAGACAAACAGAAGGCAAAACAGACCGAGAGAAAGACGGAGACACACAGCCGAGAACCACACCCACTGCCATCAAGCGGATTCCGACTCACAGCGCCCCTAGAGGACAGGGTAGAACTGCCCCCCTCGGTTTCCAAGGCTGTCAATCTTCATGGAAGCAAAGCCCGAACCAGACCCAACTCTGGAGTCGATTCTGACTCACAGCGCCCCCAGGGAACAGCATAGAACTGCCCCCATAGAATTTCCAAGGCTGTAAATCTTTCCAGACGCAGACTGCCTCATCTTTCTCCCAGGGAGCTGCTGGTGCGTTTGAACTGCTGACCTTTTGGTTACCAGCCAAATGTTTTAACCACTGCGCCACCAGACAGGCAAGGAAAGAAAAAAGAAGTCACAGGAGAAAAAGAGCCAAAGATGCAGAGAGACCCAGAGACACAAAGCAATGGAGGCAGCGGAGCCCCAGGACCCCTTGGGACAGGCAGGGCCTCTCAGCTGGGCCAGGGCAGGCAGCCAGGCAGCCGGACGTTCCTACGCATGCGCGACGGGGCTGGCGGGCCCCCACCTGCTGGATGGAGCCCAGCGTGTCAGTGTACTTCTCCTCGGTCTGCTGGATCTCGCGCAGGCAGCAGCAGCGCTTGTCGTAGTCCGTCATCTTGGGCTGAGGGCAGAAGGAGAGGCCGGTGAGGGGCGTCCCGGGCTGCCCCCCGCCCCACACTCGCCCTCCGGGCTCACCGCCGCGCACCGGCATGGCCGCGGGCTCTGTGCGCATGAGGTCCTCGTAGATCTCGTCGCCCTCGGCCTCCTCGTTCTCCACACAGTCGTACAGGTCCTCATCCTCCTCCACCGTGTCGCTGTGGGGCACCAGGTCAGGCGCGGCCGCGGGCCCCCAGCCAGGGTCCCCTCAGAGCCCCTGGGGCAGAATGCTGCCCCTCGGGGCCCCAGGGCAGGGTCATGTCCCCATCACACTCCCGGGGCAGGGCCATGGCTCCCCCGCCTGGGTCCCGCAGGGCATGGCCTGTCTCCCCTCCCAGGCCCTCAGGACAGGTGCATAGCAGGCCCTGCCACCCCCAACACTCACTCGATCTGGTCCGACAGGCCACTGTAGATGTCTTCGTCGCCCACATTGTCCTCCTCGGTGGGGAAGGGCCTAGGGGCCAGCATGGGGTGAGCTAGCAGCCTGGGGGCCGCGCGGTCCCGGGTGGGGTGGGGCTTGATGCAGGGTATGGGGTGGGTGGGCTCAAACTGGTACTCACATGATGCCCTTGTTCTGGGCAATTGGGGTCCATGACAGAGCAGACAGGGTGTAGATGACCTGTGATGGTGACAGGACATAGCCCCTGAGGTAGACCCCAGGCCTCCTACAGCCTAAGGGGGGTTTCCCTCCTCCTTCCCATCCCACTGTCAGCTCCCCTTGAACTCAGCCCCCACCGTTTGCTCCAAACAGAGGGACTGAGGGCTCAGAGAGGTATGGCCACACAGGCAACATCACACTCAGTGGAGGAACAGAGACTCGAATCCCTGCTCCCGCGCCTCCATCCTCTGTCGCCCTCCCCTCCAGTTCTTTACCCAGTGCCAACTTTATAGGAAGTGAATTGAAACCCAATTCTCAAGGCTCTCTGTGCCCAGCTCCTGGGCAGCGCACCTTGCCGAAATCCTGCACATCGAAGAGGTCAAAGGCCTCGAAGAGCTCACTGCGCTTGAGGCCAAACTTCTCACAGCACGTGGACAAGAAGGTGCGGATGTTCTTAAGGCACAGGAACTGTGAAGAGAGGGAAAGGAGGCCTGGGTGTGACAGGGCAGGAGGCCCGGGCTCCAAGCCGGCCTTGGGGATTGGCCCAGTGGGCAAAAAGGAGACACACCTAGCCTCCCAGGAAGCCATGCCCAGTTCCGGTAAAGATCAAGCTGCACCTGAAGCTGTACCTACCCCTAAACTTTTTATTATTATTACTATTGACATAAAATGCACATCAGAAAATTAACTGTTAGCCATTTTCACAGCACTCCTGGTTGACTCAAATAATTAAGCACTTGGCTGCTAACCAAAGGGTTAGAAGTATGAGTCCACCCAGAGGGACCTTGGAAGAAAGGCCTGGAGATCTCCTTGTGAACACTCAGCCATTAAAACTCTATGGAGGGGGAGAGCTGGACAGATGGGAGTACGTAGGTAAGAAGGGCACGGGGAGGTGGTAGTCACAGGGACGGGAGGGGAGGAGAGTTTGTTAGGGTCGGGGTTGGTAACCAGGGCATGAAATCAAATGTACATGAACTTTAGAATGTAAGAAAAATTTTCCTCTGTAAATCTGTACCCAAAGCACAACAAAACTAAAAAAGAAAAAGCCCTATGGAACACAGTCCTTCTCTGACACACGTAGGCCACCCCGAAGCAGAATCCACTCAACGGCAGCTCGTTTGTTGTTGTTCTTAGGTGCCGTCGAGTGGTTTCCGACTCATAGCGACCCCATGCACAGCAGAACGAAACACTGCCTGATCCCGCGCCAGCTCCATGATCCTTGCTATACTTGAGCCCATCATTG